TCTCTCTCTCTCCCTCTCTCTCTCTTCCCCCTTCTCTCTCTTTCTCTGTGTGTGTCTGTGTATGTCTCTGTCTCCCCACATATCCAGAAATGTACAGGTGTCACGAGGTCGAAACTATTGCTGGTAATATACTTTACTTGTGAGAATGCTAAGAGCTACCATGGTTACATTCGCTGGCAGTGTTACATTTGCTGATAATTTACAGTGAGTGTAATTAGTAATTACAAACCAGATGGATGCTGTCATAACCAGTCTGAAAACTTGCCGCAGTCCGTTATGCAGCAGAGGCTGGCAGAAACAGAGAAGCTCAGCGAAATACAGACAATGCGCACCAACCACCTTTCTCTGTTTCCGTGTCTTCATGTCACACGTGTCCACCAACCACCTTTCTCTCTTCCTCTCTACCTCTCCCTTGTTACCTTCCCCTTCTGCCGCTGTCTCCGTCTGTTCGGTGCGTGCCATTTTCACAGTATATCAACTCAGCTAGATAGAGCAACAACCTTCGAAGTTGATGATCACAGGTGCTAATCCTGTTCGATGCTGAATTCTTCGCTTCGTTGAAGGAATTGTTCTTCTTTCTCGCACTTTGCGTTTGTGCGCTCACCCCGGTCTGCCGGGTGCTGCTGAGCACGGATCGTCGGGATCGAGGAACTGGGAGAACCAACCACATCATGGCAGTGGGATAGCCCAGCCATGTGATATCCCTAGCTTAGCGGCTGCACTGGAAAAGCGAGCCCACCACCCCCGCGAGGAAGAAGACAGATGAGAGAGAGACCACACCCCCCGGTGACGAAGAATAGAGATCGCTCCGCCATTGAGTGCAGCGCAGTGCGCTGCTTGACCCTATATCTGATCCTTGTAGCCTCCTTGGCTCTTCTTTTTTGCTGACCGACTGCCAAAAAAAAGTCAACTTCTGTTGAACACGTCGGCAAAAAGTCAACATCTATTTGATGACCGTGTCACCAAAAAATCAACTTATGTCGACCGCGTAGCAAAAAAGTCAACCTCTGTTGACCGTGTTGCCAAAAAGTCAACTTCTGTTGACCGTGTTGCCAAAAAGTCAACTTCTGTTGACCGCGTAACAGTTTCGAAAAGAGATCCATCATCGATTGATTGATGATGTGATGCCCGTCCTCAGGCAGGCATTCAGCGGATTTCGTGCATCTGGTTTCAGGCATCGTATTTCACCCCCTTTCTATCTATTTTTCTTAAAGGGAACTTTCCTTTGTCTAAAGGGGGTTAGTTAGACCCTAACATCATTATTATATATATACTTAGCACATCTATCGACCTGATTGCATCAAGATTTGAACTCGTTATCTGATTACTAAAACTTTACACGCGTGCACGGCCGAGCCGCTGGGGCTGTCGGGTGGTTCTGCTAGGCTGGGCCCGCGCTGGTGGTGGTTTTCACTTCTGGATCTTCACGGCACTCCACGTACACTATCGGTCGCTAAGGGCATGCTCCCATAATACTTGCCGGAATGTAACTGACCGCAGTCGAGGCCAGATTCGTTTAAGAAAATCCTTTTCTTAGCAAGGCTCTAATAAGTACTTAGGCACGAAGCGAAGGAACGAAGAAACGAGGGCAGGAAGGAGAAGGAAAAGAAGAAGGAAAGAGAGGAAAAAGCGGAAACGCTACTACAAGGAGGAGCAACTTGTGACGGAAAAAAAAAAAAAAAAAGAAACAAACAAAACAGCTAGCATTTTGTGATGAACGAGAGAGACCAGACGATTGCGAAAGATGCCAACTTGCGCAAGAAGAGAATTTTGTGATTGCGCTTTGGAGGAGGATGCACTGGCCCATTAGGACTATAACATAATTTACTCATAACCACTAAAGTAAGGAGAGAGAGTGGGTAGGCTGAAGGAAAGACCTGTTAGGCTGGCTGACTTGCTGGCTGGCTGGCTGGCTGGTTGGCAGGCTGGCTCACTGGCTGGGTGTGTTCCTAGGAGTGGAGAGGTGGTCACGGAATCTCGGGTTGGGATGCGTGCTGAACATGGACTAGGAGGGATGAATCATGGATTACTTCTTGGTCATCAGAGTTTGGAGAGCCTCTCTTGCAAGAGCAGCCAGCTCCTCGTTCTTGCGCTGCAATTCCATATTGACGCGGACCATGTCCTCTACCTTCGATGACAAGACATTGACTTGCTGCCGAAGACCCTCGTTCTCGTGATGGACAATACCGAGCGTGGAAATGACTTGCGTTTTCACTTGCTCGGAGGAGTGGAACTTCTGCCGCATCTGAAGCACAGTCTCTTGCAAAGTTTTCAGAGTGTCGTCGTCGCCGAAGCTCATGACGCGGTCCAGCGAGTGATCTCCACGTATCGCGCCTGGCACATGCCAAACTTGCGTGTTAATGCTTTAAACCGTGGTGCTGTTTCAGGCTCTATGTATGGAGAACTCCCAACCTTTAAGACTTGACCTGCTGACGACACGCTGACCATATTTTAAAAGCTGAAGTACCCCTATGCAAACATTGTGGCTCTCCCTCACCCCCCCCACAAAGGTTCTGCACCCCTGTGCCTCTTTTCCCTCTCCACACACACACAATATTACCTCGCTCTTCTCTCTCTCTCTCTCTCACACACACACACACACACACACACACACACACACACACACACACACACACAC